TGGTGGTATATATATTTGCATTATTCCCATTTTCCTTCTTTCTTTAAACGTGAACTCAATTGCCAGAATTCTATTTTTCCATTTAGTTATCTGGATGGCGTGCCTTGCCCACTCCCTTTTTATGATTATGATTACACCCCCTGCTTGCTCCCTTGTTGGTACCCATATTGCTTTGTAGGTTGTCATATTCATTGTTCTGGTCCATACATTCTCTTTGAATTTTGTGTCTGCTATTCCTAAGATCGTAATTTGTTCATCCTTCAATAATACTTTTATATTTTGTTGCTTACTTGTCTCATTTAGTTCATTTACGTTGATTGTTACAATCTTTATCAAGGTATTATCTATTCTGATTTCTTTGTACATTCTTTTTTGCTTTTTATTGGTTGTTGTTCTTGTTATGTTATCTTTACTCATAATTGTTCGATTTGGTTTAGTTTACTGTCAAGCCTTCTGTGCCTTTGCTATTCTGCTCTGTCCTTGTTCTATCAGTTCACTTACTTTCTGAACTAAACCATCCATTTGGACCTCCATTCTTAATTGTCATTCTTTAATTATTTTACTGTTTGCTTGATATTGTTTATTCGTTTCTTGTTGCTGGTTTCTCCATTGTTTCTCCTCCTGCCTGTACTGTAGTTCGCTTTCTTCACTTTCCATTCTATTTTCTCTCTTTTGCTTCTCTGGGATCTCCTCTATTCTCAGCTCGGTACACAATTTCTCAATGCACTTCTCCAATTTTTTCATCTTTTCCTCAAGCTTCATCAATCTCGCTTCCATTGTCTCTCTGTTGTTTGCTCGCTCGTATCTGGTGACTGACCTTGTTCTGCTGCGCTTGCGCATCACTTCTGCGAAGATAATTGGTGCATTGCCTTCTGGTTCTTTCTTGAACCTTGATTGTACGGCTATAAATCTTGCTTGGGCTCTTTCTCTGTCATAGCGGATCCTTACTTCTCCACATTGGTATGCTATGTGTCCATCCTGTCCACATTTGTAGCACAGTTTCTCATATTCATGTACCAGTTTTACATTTGTTTTCTCAAATTGGAACTCTTTGCCCAATGCTTGTTGTCTATCCTCTTTTGTTTCAAATGCGATATATGCAAATCTTTCCCTAAAATAGTTGGTGGTCCTAGATATGTACATTGTTTTCCCTCCTACATTTTTGCTAATCTCTTCCAAGTCATATGCTGTTGTGACTGCAGGCAGGCCTGCCAACTTTAGTACAAAATCAGATCTTCTCTTTAGCTCTTCTTTTTTCCCTGCCGCTAGACGAATTCTCAGTTGCTCTTTTCCAAAAGGGATTAACCACTGTTCTGTGAGAATTTTTGCTACCTCCTCATCTTGAAAAGTTACTGTGGCTGTTTGCCACATTTCTACTGTCCTAAAGTGAATATTTTTAATCTCCCCAAATTTCCTTAAAAGGGTTTTGACAGCTCCCTCACTTACCGCTAATGGTATGTCTCTGATGATCACTTTTTGTCCCAAATTTCGTTGCTGTAGCACGTGTTCCATGGGAATCAAATATTTCTATTTGATTTATCCCCGAAGTTAATCTCACATGCATGCTGCATGTCTATGGGATTACCGAATGTGGCAATGATCTTCTTTTTCCTGTTGGATTCTCTCGCGACTCTGACTCCCAAGAAAGAATCAAAGCGGTAGCATTCCTTCTCTACCATTTCTGCAAAGACTGCTGACTCTAAGTCTGCTGGGATTTCTATCTCTCTCATGTGCCTTGGTTTCCTGGTAACTTCTCCCTGATAGCTACTCCCTTGTTCTGATTCACTCGACCCTTTCATTACTGTCTTCCTCTCATTTGTCATTTCATCTCTAATATCCTGTGCCTTGTTGTTCCCTTTCTCTTCTTCTTCTTGTTCCATTTCTATATCTTGTTTGTCACTTGCTTCTTGCTTGCTTTGTTGCTGCTCTGTGGGTGACTCCTGCTGCTCCTCCTCTTCTTCTATTTCCTCCATCTTGCGTTTTTCTTTCATGTCATCTGTACTTGCGCTTCTTCTGCTTGTCTCAAAGGTTACTCTTTTCCTACTTCCACTTTGTTGCCTTGTAGTGGCTTTTTTGCTAATACTTGTTGCCAGGACTTTTGCTTCTCTTGTAGAGCTTATGACCTTTTGTTCTCTGCCTCTTCCTCTACTTGAGATTGTTGCTGTCGTTTGTCTTCTGTCCATTTTCAACTGCTTGCCTTTTTTGGTAATTTCTTACTGTGCCACTGCTCAACGGGAAAGAGTATATATTATTCTATAATTATATTAATTACTAAAATTGTTATGTTAACCAAGTTCTTCATTTAAATAACAATTACAAATCTATTTTAGATATATAGCAAGTTATTGAATTGTTATATAGAATAATAAGCAAAATTTTTTTATTTCAACACCTATTAACTAGATTAAGACAGCAATAGAATCCTTAATTTAACTATATAACATAATCTGAAAACCATGCTGTTTTACAGTTAATATCTTATCTCTTATTAGAATTATATGAAATAGTATTAAATTCCAATTAATTTAATTCTTTTAGATCAAAAAACAAGAATATTTTATAAGTTGAAGATATATTCAATATTAACTTACAAAAAGATATTATTATTTATTTGCCTTCTATTATTACTAATGCATTTATTCAATTTGAATATAATTACTTCAAATGTGTTTATAGTTTAATAATAAAAAAACTTTTTTCTACAATACTTTAATTTGTAAAAAATTTTCTTTTTTGATAATAATATAAATAGTGAATAATAAATAGTCAGCAAAAATCTTTCATTAGGAAATAAGTTCATCTTCATTTACTGCAGAATGTATAGGGTCAATTAACTTTCTATAGAGTAGTAAATACTTTGAAAGTAACAAAAACCTCTTTGAACAAATCTTTTGTTTTATCAAGTAAAACTATGTAAGCAATTTTCAAATAATAAAAAACCTTTTTATTTATTCCTATATAAAATATAACAAAAATATTATATAAATATTCTTTCTTTTCAAATATCCATATATATATCAAGAGACAGTATTTTATTTTTTCAGAGTTTTTGTTTTCTATTGATAATAACTAGTGTTAAATTAATTGGCACAACCTTCTAATTAGTTATTAGTTTTTGTCTATTCTTATATACAAAAAATTGAAATCAGTTTACTTCATTAAAAGATCTATAATATACAAAACGCCAATGATATTTTGTATCATTCAATTACATCAAAATAATACAATAATTTATTGGATTGGAAAAGTACATAATTAGTGCTCTGCATGGGTTCCAGTAAAAACAATATATTACACTTCATCAAAATAAAACAACAAATATCCAAAATATACAAGTTTCAATAACTCCACTATCAACACTACAATCTGATTAAATTATACTATAGTAACATATTTCAAAAATCTATATAACCAAATCAATCAAATTATTTATGACTTGCACACACTACTGTCTGACTGAAATAACTAATTGTGTTTAGAAATTATATTTAACAAAAGTTACAATATTATCTCTAACCTTTTCTTTCCTTCTTTAATTTCATTACATTATAGTAATCTTGTCCCAAATGTTTTTTTATTTTTTATTTTTTATAACAGGTAGTTTTTTAAGTTTTTTTTGCTCAAAGGTTTTTCAAATAATATATCTGTTAAATAGATGATAGGCTAATATCTATAGCAATATAATTCATAACTTAATATTAATTATGTAACTTTTACTATATTAATAAAGATAATGAGTATGCCTCACTTTACATTAAAAAAAAATCTATAGTCTAATATTATCATCTCTTAACTTTAATTTTAATTCTCTTAATACTGAGTAGATATTCATGACTGCTTGACAAGATATATTATTTTAAATTTTTTTTTCAATATTAGTTGAATGGTTACTGTAGGCAAACTAGCATTTAACTCATTGTATCAATACATGAGAGATTTGTTTCTTTCATGATGTATATCTTGTTATATACAAATCAAATAAAAAAATAATGTTTATCTACAAAAAAAAATAAACTAAATAGACTTTATTTTACTATCAAACTTAAAAACTATTATTTTTTAAATACATGCTATATAATTCCAACATCCTGATCTCGAAAAAGTGGAAGCTTTTTTCTGTTACTTGGAAAATCAGCTAGCTAAAAATTTTTATCGTTAGACTATCAATTTACGTAGAAGGTTGCGTGACGATCTGTTTATCCCTGTATAAAAAACAAAAATATAATAAATAATTACCTATATAGGTGCATATTTTTGATTGGTCAGAGTAAATTATCGCTGTATTGTAGTACTATATACAGTATATACATTTTTTTTTTTTTACAGCATTTTCACTTTCATTTTTTCTCTCTTTCACTTTCGTTATTTCTCTCTTTCTAAATTATGTCATCATGTTAAGACGAAACAATTTAAAATATTTGGGTTTGGCCGTGGTAACACTATTTATTTTTCATTTGGTGTTAACTGTCACCAATCCGAAGTCGGGATATTCGAGATTCGAGTTTTCTGATTCTAACAAAGAGGATCTACCTATAAATAAAGAGCATAAAATTTATCATCAAATTGGTAAAGCTAAGGCTGCCTTCGTGGTTTTAGCACGGAATAGCGATTTACATTCGTTTCGAGCTACCATGAGGCAACTAGAAGATAGATTTAATCACAAATATAACTATCCATATGTGTTTTTAAATGATGAACCATTTACCGAGGAATTTAAGCAACTCACTAGCGTAATGACCAAGGCAAAAACAGAATACGGTAAGTATTATAAAGAATAATGAACATTATTTAATAAGTTATGTGTATTCTGTAAATGTATAATGTGGAATCGTTCGATTGTTATAGGGTTGATTCCTAAAGAACACTGGAGTGTTCCCGACTCGATTGATATGGAGCGTGTTTTGAGGAATATGGCCAAAATGCGGGAGGAAGATGTAATATATGGTGATAGTCTGCCATATCGTCATATGTGCAGGTAAATTTTCGATATCTCGATTCTCGTGTCCATCATTGCGCCATTTAAGCGATAATACGGTAAATTTTCTTAGATTTGAATCCGGATTTTTCTATCGTCACTCCTTGTTAGATAAATATGATTATTATTGGCGTGTTGAACCTGATGTTCAATTCTATTGCGATTTGGACTTTGATCCATTCATGTATATGCAAGATCATGACATCAAATATGGTATTGCTTTTATACTCGTTTGATTAATATTATATGTTGCGACTACTATAACTTATATAATAATAATAATAATAATAATCTTTTAGGCTTCACTATTTCACTGTACGAATACCCGAAGACCATACCTACTTTGTGGGATGCTGTTAAGGAATTTTCTGAGAAGTATCCTGAATTTATTGAAAAAGAAAATTTGATGGAATTTATTTCAAACGACGGTGGTCAATCTTATAATCTGTATGTCAACAATTCAAATTTACTAATTATTACCTGAATTGAACGACTAATTTATTTTGATTAATATCAGATGCCACTTTTGGTCAAATTTTGAAATTGGAGATTTGAATTTATGGAGAAGTAAAGCATACACTGAATTCTTTTCTTTCCTCGACAAGAAAGGCGGGTTCTTTTATGAACGGTCTGTGTGTTATTAAAATCGACTAATTAGTGGTTGATAAATGAAGTAATAATCTATTTATCATTACTATTTTTGTTTTCTTAGTTGGGGAGATGCACCAGTTCACTCAATTGCTGCCGCACTTTTCTTGAAGAGGCACCAAGTACATTTCTTCAATGAGATAGGATATCGTCACGAGCCATTTATGCATTGTCCCACCGGTAATGACTTACAATTAAAATGTCATTGCAATCCCAACGATAATTTCGGTAGGCCATTTTTATTATTTTTTCAACAATAGAAAGACATCCTGATTAAATTAATTTTTTTTACATCTAATAGATTTTCAGGGTTACAGTTGCACTTTAAGGTAAACAACAGCGAAAGACATTTTTTTCGTATGCACGTATGTATTTATTCTAATAATTTATCCTTCCATATTTTTAGATATATTGAATTAAAAGAAAAATGGTTTACGGAAAAAAACAATACGAAAATGATTAACTGAGATCATTTGCATAACGAGGCAGAGATCCGATTTACAATAACATAGATCAAAGGATGTGAAGCATCTAATTTCGACAGATGGTCGGAAATGTAATTTATTTTTTTGTAATTTTTATATTTGGGTAAGTATTTTTGAAGGAAAATCAACCCTAAATCCAGGATCGGAAAATCAGATGCGATTCCAGAATCAAAAATTACTATATATATTATTTATTTTATTTATATTAATTTTAATTTTTTTAATTTTTAATTATGAGGGTATTTTAATTTTAAATAAATATTACGTGACTTCTTGTTAATCATAAAGTTATATATACTGTATATTATAATCAAATAAGTATAAATAGCATTTATTTAAGTACGACCATCAGCTCAATTTAATTGTGTAACATATTGTGAAATAAAAGTAATGTTTGTTTATTACATTAAAAATAAATATTATACAAACATAATTGGTATTCTTATAATAGATAAGAAAAGAAATTTTTAACTAATAGTAGAAAGAATGGATGCTAAACAAATTGTGCATAATTGAATATAAACTTATCAAAATCTAGAAAATCTAAAATATTTATTAAATAAAAAAATGATTTATATCACATGGGCCAATATTCAATCCCAAACCACAATTCTGGTATTTGTACAACTCCAGATGCATCGTAAAAACATACAAAAGACACTACACAATACATGAAGAAATCAATCTCAAAGGAAGACACTACTCCATTAACTTCAATAACAATCTGATCAGGTATAACAGATGTGTGTATACAGGGAATCATCTCCATTAGTTTTTTTACAATGTTCTTCACAAGTGCTTTAGCCTCCTTCCTATAGATCCTATCTAATCCCAACAATCCAAATAAACATTGCTTAAGCAACATAATCAATAAGCTATCTATTACACCACAACAAAATGAAAGTATTCATCAATTTATTGATAACTTTTTTATCTCTTTCTCTATTTTGACACTTTAACAAATTGACTTTTGTTAACAATATCACTTTCAATTTTATCAAAACAAGATTTTTGCAAATAATATAAGAATCAATCCAGTTAATTCAGATATTTTTTAGACAACTTCCTATATACTATACTGGAAACCTTTCACTTGTACACATTAAATTGTATAGTAAAAATAAAAAGCAACAAGAAAATATTTTATAAAGTCTTAAATTATCTAAGAAGAATAATGAAAATTAACAAACTAGTTTAGAACAAGTCAATCCAAATTATATATACCAATTCTAAATCTAATTCAAAAGTCAATAGCACTATTTAATAGATCAATCCTTCATTGTACTTTATTAAAAATTTAATAATTAAAAATTTACAACTTAGCAACAGTGTCAAATAATACAAGAAAATTTTAAGTATTATCAAAACTTATATAATTTGTGAAAGCTTATTAGTCCTAAAAACATTTGGCTATATACACAAGCTTTTTGATCTTAAAATTATTAACAAATTTAATAGAAATATCAAAAATACAAAAATTAACAAATTTAGTAACCTTATTACCTTCAATATCAAATTACTCTTAAGAATACTTTCCACAAAAAAAAATCTTCACAAATTATATTCAGACTAATATTCAAATCTATATTGTTTCAAATATAACTTTTGTACTAAAGATATTTAACATGTATTCAAATATTCAACAGTATCAAAAAAAAACAATTAGTTATCCATACTATTAACAACATTCTTTATTATGAAAATAATTACAAATCAATATTATATGCTTGGCAGTTGACAAAACTTATATATGAAATTATTAACAATATCTTTTCTATAACCAGTTTCTTTAAATGAGTTAAAGTATCAATGAAAATCTTAATACACTTATATAAATCAATCTGGATATCTTATTGTGCTATAGTAAACATCTTCCTTTTTATGGATATTAAATGAAATAAGAACTTTTCTAATATTTCAATTAGAATAATTACCCAGATTACTATTAAACCAAAATTATCCAATAACTCTTTTTTTATTACTACACAAATCTTTATTATTATTAATCTATCAACTATAGTTATAAACTTATATATTTAAAGTGAATATAACTTTTCCAAATAAAAACTCTCTCCCGTAAATCAATTTTTAACAAAAAATTTCCTTTTATAGTAACAACCTTTAAAACAAACATTTTGT